AAACCTATTTAATACATATATATATATATATTATATAGATATATAGTATTAAATATCTATAAAAAACCTATACATGTTCGTACCTATATACGTTCGTACATTTTTTCATGTAAGAATGAACGATTGTGAACAAGTGGAAAAAAAGAGGGAATGAGAAAGAGACAAAGAAAAAGAATAGGGCAACGATCGCGATAAAAAAAGAAAAGTTTTTCAAAAGTGGATAGCAAAGTCGATCGATTCGTCCACTTATCTTCACCACCGACGAATATTTAGGCCAAGTTATCTACAAAATGAGCAATTCTTAACACAGTTCCGTGCCACGTGGGTCCCATGCAGCCTGAATGAAAGGGGTCGAGAAAAGATCGAGATGACACGAAACGTAATAATAATCTCATGAAATTTATCTATAACGTGTGTAATTCATTATTTTAATTATAACCAATTTCACACAAAGATGAAGACGAGGATAATATTATACATGAGTCGTTAATTTTTAAAATGGCGTAAATCCAATTATATCTATCAAAAACATATGATTTCTTAAATAATGTTAATTATAATAATTGGGATGATAAATTGAACACCCTTTATAAATACAAAAGCATTATTCTACTACGTAATCTGTTAATCTATGTTTTTAACCCTTTGATTGCTCAAGACGCATATATGCGTTTGGTAAAAGTTCCCAGCGTGTAAACTATTACGTTTTTGTCAATATAAATGCAAATAATGTAATGTTGCTTTGTCTATTGATTATTACAATTTTCTAAAAGAAAAAAAAGAAAAAACTTTAATAATTAAATATAATTTATTATTATAAATTTGTTTAATAATATCACTAATAATAAACTATTTCTCGTACCTTATAACACATTTGAACTAAAAGTATTCAACATTCAAAGGGTTAAATTGAATCCAACGTAAAACCATCCTTCACAATATTTCGATTCGAACGTAAATGGACTTAAGCCATTTTTAAAATAAATGGTTCATGTACGTGTTCTAATACCTTTTAATAGATCGTTCTAAAGATCAACTTTCATCTTTGCAGTAGCAAAATCCAATGTACAACGACGACACAAACTCGTTACGATGATAGAATTTCAATTGCAGGACCTTCGATTGCTATAGTTGGATAAAAAAAAAAGTCATGGAAAATTCTCTCTCTCTTTCTTTCTTTCTGTGTTCGTGCCTCGAGGCATCTTGGATAACATGGAATTCCAAAAACGATTTATAGACACATTCCTATTCCTTGGGAATACTTTTTATTTCTTTGACTTCTTTCCTAGCGTGTCGTAGAAAGAAATAGTCTAGAAATGGAAAGGTTGTATAAAAGGCCAGGGTCGGTTGGTTTGGTTCGATAACGATATCTATTTCAAAGAGAACGAGGAAAAAGAGATCATCGGTTATCTCAGCATTGATTAGATTAACCACTCGAATATTACTTTTCGATTTACCAATTCTATATTCGAAATATTTTATTGTCAGTAAGAAAATAAATTTGATCTATTTAATAAAATCAGGATCTTATTTTCTTAAAATTTATCTGTATACAACATCGTGTATTGAAAATCGTGACACGATCCAATCACAATTGTGTAATAATCTATATATATATATAAGAATTCAGTGTCACATTGTTTGTTTGTGATGAATTTCGATACTACTAAACCGATCTTTAATGAAATTTTTGTTATTTTCTGTGATTTTTTTCAATTTAGAATATAGGATAGTTTTTATCGAGATTATTTTTTATTTTTTATAACTAATTTAAGGATTTAATATTTAAAGGTTATCTAGATCTTTAGATACTATAAGTTTTCAATAGATGGCGCTGTATTACAATTCAATTATTTCAATTTACATGTGTCATAACCTTAGTTTTTCTTTTTTTCGTATATTATTATTTTACGTATTTTATTAAAATTGTGGTATTATTTTGTGTATTGTTATAATTTACTAAATAGTTCAGAATTATATTAAATCAACATTTTATAACAAAACCACAGCAACGCGTGGCCGGGGTACCTTTGTTTTATATACATACAAATAATTTATGACAAATAAAAAATTAATAGCATTTTTTTGTTTTCTTATTTCCATTTACAGAATATACTGTCACAATTGAACTTGGATACTGTGATGTACGTATAACGCTACAAATTTTGTATATTTTTATAACAAAATATTTCATACAAAAAAATTTAGTTTATTGGTAGTTAAATGTTTAAGATTATTAAAAATGAATCTTTCGTTAATGTTTCTTGCTCGCATAGAACAAGCTTCTTCTTTAACGAATCGAACGTGTCCTATCTACCGGCTGTTACGAAATAAAGAAAAAGAAGAAGAAGAGAGGTCACGCTCGACGTATTTCTTGATCGCATATCTTCTAACGTTGTAGGTATCTGCAATTTTTCTTTTTCTTTCGTTTTGATCTCTTTAATTCTTTTTTTTTCTTTTGTTCCATTTTTCTCCTTCCCCTTCTTTTACTTTCGTCCAGGTTGCATCGCGAAAAGAACCGTGTGCTTTGCACCTGTGCATTTTGCTAGCTATCACGATTGTATACACCAATAAAATTGCATGCATACATACGTACATTTGTATATATGTATGTATGAATGTAATACCAACACAGGACGTTCATTTTTACGTTCCGCATTCACTCTCAAAGCTCCGTGAGAAGAAATACTATACATGCAGAAAAGGATACAACGATGATGTATCACGAAACGCACTGATCTCGTACAGATACGAGAGAGAGACACCTACTTTCAAACAGCAAACGTACAATACGTATGTAAGTATAATATGTACGTACGCATGGATGACTGAGAACTTATTTCGAAAGATTATCTTGATTTGGGTTTATTATACGGTGAAGAAGAAGGAAGGGAAGGGAGGAGGAAAAGTATGTCGAGGATTTGACATCGTACGCGTGACATAACGAAAACGTTACTCGTCTAATCTGTCTTCTATTGCCTTTTAATCAGAAAGAAATTCACGTAATTGTTGGTTGTATCTATGTATGTCAAGAGAAGAAAAAAAAGAAAAAAAAGAAAAGTAATAAGATAAGGAAATTTGAATTGTAATTGGACGTAGATCGGTTCTTGGTTGGTAATTCAGATTGAATCTGACTGAAATAATTAGTACCTCGTTACGTCTCAGCGTTCTCAACACGATCATGTTTTTGGATGGTTAAAAAGAAAACCAAAAGAAGAAGAAGAAGAAGAAGAAAAAAAAAAAAGAAGAAAAAGAAGAAGGAACAAGATTTGAGAGAAACGATACCGACTACAACAACGACAACGACAACGACAACGACAACGGTGATGGTTTGGAAAGCTTTCACGCGGGTCACGAGGAACGTTATTGCATGGCGATCGTTCGAAATGGGACGGCTTTTCTTATTTCGTTAATTAATTACGGATCCACCAGCCGGCCGTCGGCACTCTAAAGTAATCGAACTGGATTCCAGGGCGTCAAACTCGCACGATAAGCGGTTCCCTTTGCTCGGATCATCGTTCATCGGTTAACGGCCTCACGAACTACGAATTATACATATGTAATATACTATATTATATACTTTTTGTTCACCCTAATATATGTATATGCTAGTATATGCTTGCATATATTCTTGTATATATCTATCTTCTTTATACATAAAAATTCAAAATCACATTGTTGGTTTGTTATGAACTCCGAAACTACTCAATCGAGCTTATTGAAATTATTTTTATTTAGTGTGATTTTTTCCAACTTAGAATATAGGATATTTTATATTTTTTATTGCAAATTTAAGGATTTATTATTTAGAGGTTACTTAGTCTCTAAGTTCTGTAAGTATTCGATAAATGCCACTCTATTACAATTCAATTATTTCAATTCATTCACGTCACACGTTTTTTTTCAGATTTACATTTTGCTCACCTTAATATATGTATACGTTTGTATATGCTTTGATATATACCTATATACCTATACACCGCGTAATCGTCAGAAAAAAATGGAAAATGAAATAAAAAAATAACACACCTATATTAGAGAATAATAAATAAATAAAGAAATATATAATTTACCGATGTCCCTGATACGACGTCTTGACGAGTTTAACTGCAAAGAGGAACTGTATGGCGCAGACCAGAAGGCAGCACAGGTTCAAGGACAGAGCGAGCGCACATAAAGCCAAGGTCACCTCGTAGACGATCGTGTACTCCTCGGGGCTGATGAGACTACTCGGCGTGACCGTCAACGGTGAAATCTTCAATAAGAAGATTAGGGAAAGGAGAGCGAGTAACAGAGAAACCAAACAGAGGAGTCCAAGACTCGTTAACATCTCCTTAACGCCAGCCTCGTGACACCGATGATTCCTCGATAGGGAAGAAGACCATGAGGCGTTAAGAGGTATGACGGTCGGTCCGGGATGTCCGCCGATCTGAACGGGCATAGTTGGCTGATGAACGGCAGCAGGTGCTGGCGACGGGGTCGTTTGGCTAGGTAATCGAGATAATCTCGAAATATCAAAGCCACCGTTCGCTTTAGGTCTGTCCTGATGAATTGGCAGTTGGACACCGACAACAGTTTGACTTGGCACGCTCGACAGATTATTATTATTGTTGTTATTATTATTATTAGTGTGTCCATTGATATTGTTACTGCCATTGTTATTGTTATTACTACCACCAACGACCGGACTGACACTGTTCACCGAATGCTTCGACGTCGACAGGGTCGAAAGATTAAGCGCGTGGGAGTGATTTAATCGTTGGGATAGATTGTTCACACTAAGCTGCGAATGATTCAAGGGATGTCGATGAGCCGAGGATGGTGTCGTAGCTGCTTGGTGATGAACGTTTAACGAATTCGTCGTCGTCGTAGTCGTCGTCGGCCTTTGCGACGACGAATGACCCACGGAATCGTAGACGTCGATGCCGTTCGTTCTAGCAGACGTTGCAGACGTTCCTCGTGCAATCGTACCTCCGCTCCCATTGCCACCGTAATGATGCTGTTGTTGTTGCTGTTGCTGCTGCTGTTGTTGTGGTTGCGGCTGCTGCTCCTGTTGAAGAAGATTGTGTTGATGGTGATGATGGTGGCTGGCGTGCAACGAGCCCGAGCTCGTTTGATAGTCATTGTGATGATGCCTGGAGCCCGCTGACGACGGTTGCCCCGTTAGGATATGTTTCAGCATTACTCGACGCTGATTTCACGGGGGGAAGGCTGTCCTCTCGTTTAACACCTTACATGGTGTTAATGTCTTATCTTATCTTTCGATTCTAACGATTAACAATCAACTTATTTATTTGTTTTCTTTTTCGTTTGTTTTAGATATCAAGGTCGTTTTTTTACGTGCCCGGGCTCAATGAGTTGCTACACAGGAGGTCCACCATGGCGATGACGTGGATTCCCAACGGGATAAATCCTTTTAAATATTGGGCCACTTTCTTTCAGGAGAAGGACTGCCGCTCGAGGAACACCGATCTGATAGGAGAAGGAGGAGAAAAAGGAGGAACGAACGAGGATCAGCCTCGAACGACAACATCGGCATCGTTCATCGAACGGATGACAAGAGTCCTTAACCTTGGCAAACCTTCGCCAAGCTAAATCTCCCACGCAAACTCTTAAGGTGGCTGCAATGTGGGTCCACTTCCGTCTCCCCTTCCTACTGCTCTCTCAGCCGGCATAGCTTCCGAGATCGTGTTGGGCCTGCTAAAACAGGTCGAAGAAAAGTTTATTAATGGACCGTTAGATCAGTAGAAAATGTCTATTAAAGATAAAATCGTGTATAATTCGTTCAAAATAATTTCAAAAATGAATTTATTCTATTTAAATATTGGACTAGTATGTCAGTATTGTATGAGAACGAACTATTATTTCGAATTTATTGTTTGATAAAGGAATTTTGATTAGGAACTGAATCTGACGTTGGTTAATTCAATATTACATCAATTCAGTCAGTCATAAATTCGCGATGTAACGGCGATGAAATGGTAGAAAAAGAAGAATAAGAATAATAAGAAGAAAGGTATAAGAGTTAAGAGAAATAAAAGAGGAATATTAGCGTGTTTTCACCATTAACGACTTAACAGAAGAGATACGTTCGGTCAGGTTCGTTTCTCGCATTCGTATTATCATCGCTTTCTAACTAACGGCTTGATTCCTCTCTCTCTCTCTCTTTCTCTCTCTCTCTCTTTCTCTTTCTCTGTCTAAGTTGTTGCTGCTGTTGCTGCTGCTTGCTGTTTGCTGCAGTTGCTCACAGCACATTTGCCTCCTACAGCGAACGTATATGTATGAGGACTCGCACGGGTCACGCGAGCTCTTATACCTACACCTTAACTTCTTTACTTTAAGCACTCATACACACATATGTCTGTATATCTACGTATTATATATATAGAAAGCAGAAAATGAGAAACGATCGAAACCTATAATGGGGATGGAGACGCAAATTTTCAAATCCATTTCTACTAAGTTACAGAATAGTATAGAAACATTATGAAAACATATTTTGTTTATTTTATGTTAAAAAATTTCACTCAATATTGGATACATTTTCTTCGTAAAAAAAAAAAAAGAAAAACGGGTAATAGATCGGGAAGTAAAGTCGGTATATACCACCCACGAACTTTGATCGAAGCAAACGTATGGTCTTTCTATTCATAGCACATGGTAAATACGCTGAATGTAGGTGAAGCTCCTACGATCGATTAGAGAAATTCGCAAGATGATGTATCGCGTTTTATTCTCTACTCTTTTTTTTAATCTTTTTCTAACCTTTATTTTTTTATTCTACACATAAATTCGTGCGTTCGAATTTAATATTAATAATCCGCCATCGGGCATAGTCAAATAATCGAGTCGTGATAATTTGTAAAACGTATTTAAAAATATACACATTAATCCGTTTCTAAATAAAAGAAAATATTAGGTCCATCAGAAAATTCTGTCTGTTTTTAGAATAAAATATAAAATAATAAATTTTTCATAATTTGAATGAGCTTTATTGGATAATATTAGATCTACCCGAAAGTTCTATCCGTTTTTAGAATAAAATAAAATAATATTATGAATTGTTCATAATTCGAATGAGCTTTATTAAATAATATAATTATCATAATTATTTTCGACTTCTTGCCAACGTGATGGCAATTTGTATATCCCATTTAAAAAAAAAACCCTTATCCCTAGCGGCAAAAAATTAAACTAATATTTCGTTCATTATCTAATTAGCTAAAATCTCGTTCTAGATATGTTCCCTTTTTATTTTTTTCTTCTTTGAATAATAAATTAATCGAAACAGGTAGGTTTAAGGTTAAAACCCTCTTTTTTATGAATAATTAATATCGATGTTTGATAAAAAATGAAAACAGTAGATAAAAATAATTACTTTTAATAGGATAAAACTAATTAACAGTATGAGAATACGTATGAAAACATATACAAAAACACATACATTGGCAGATACACGTGTGTGTTCGGAAAACATAGCAGCATATCATAACTTCCGGAAATTTCATCTTACATTTCGCGAAATCATTATTTCCTGTATCCTGTGTGCCGAGGAATCAAGATGTAAGATCTCTCTCGAGTCTCGAGTAGGATCGGTTATCAAGACGACTACGTAGTCGATTACGACTATGACGACGAGGACAACTAAGATGAGACGATGAGAAGAAGAAGAAGTACGATGAGAAGAACGAAGTTGTTGTCAATAGCAAGACTTGACTCATAGAAACGGGTTCCGCTCGCATTCCGGACGTTCAGCCTGCTGGTCACGGTGAGCACGTCCAAGCCCTCGAACCAACACGAGTATATACATACGTATACGTGTACACACACACCTATAACACGTGTAGTCGATCCCATAAAAGAAAGAGAAAGAGAGAGAAACATAGCAAAAACAGAACAGAACAGGAGAGTGCAATCGAAAGAGGAAAATCGCGTGGTAAACGGCACGAATCGCTAGTCTAAAAGACTAAATTATTACTGTAATTATTAATATAATATAACTATAAGACTAAAATATTACTTTCGTAATAAAACTTGATACCCTTCTCGTCGTCTTCTTCCTCCTCCTCCTCCTTAGTTATTCGAAGATCAAAAATAGTTACGTTTTAAAAAGATTACAGTGCATTTTAGTGTTAGAAGTCGGAAAAATAAAAGAAAAACTTTTTTTCTTTTTTTTTTCTTTTAGACGCAGTTATTAAGAGGTTAGGCCATTCTAGAGGTCACAAAAATAGGCTCTTCTGTGATTTTTTTTCAAGAAATATATAAAACAAATCGAATTTACAAAAATGAAAGTTTATTGTACATATGATTGACTGTAAAACATCATTTTTATAGAGTAATTTATTTAAAAATGGCGGCTGTATACCGTGTTTCTCAGATTTATATATAATTCCAAATTTACATTAGTTATTGGTACGGTTGTAGACTCTTCTAAAATAAAGAGGTTATCTGAGAAACGCTGAACAGTCGCCATTTTTAAATAAATTTTTTGTATTGTTTTAAATGGTCCTTTAGAACCTTAAAAATGATATCCCAAAAGATTAAAGAAGAATAAAGATTTAATAATTTAATTAATATCAATAATATTTAATAATTAATATTAAAGATAAAACTTTAAACGCGTTTATCTCAAAACTCCATTTTTCCAGTTGGCCGCACCCATAACTCGAACAATTTTCAATCAATTCACTTCAAATTTTAACAAGATCTTTCAAAATATATTGTCTAAATAAGTACGTAGGATTTTTCTTTTTTATACGGCATAGTTCATTTGTTTTTAACAATTTTTTGGCGATTTTTCTGCTAATTTTACAAGTTTTACTTTAGAAGTGCGCTATTCGGCTAAAAATCAATATATCAACAAAATCCTATGTACTTTTTTAGCTGTTGTTATGTAGAATGAAAAAAGAATTAAGTAAGTGACTCATCATAATTCAAAATTTACAGTAGCTGTTGGTACAACCATGGACCCTTCTAAAAAAGAGCTTATGTGAAAAACACTACACAGCCGCAATTTTTAAATAAATTATTCTATAAAAATGATGTTTTACAATCAATCATATATATAATAAATTCGATTTATTTTATATTTTTCCTGAAAAAAGTCATACAAAAAAGCCTTTTTTTGCCTCTAAAGTGACCTAACCCCTTAAAAGGTTCTGTCATCTTGATAGTTGGAAAAACAAATATATAAATAAACGCTTTTTTTTCTTTTTTTTTAAACACAGTTATTAAAGGTATATAAAATAATAAATTTTGTATTTTAGAGAAGATAATTTTAATTTAAATAGCTTGGTTTCTCGGAATAATACGAGATGTGCGTGACACTAATTATCATTCGGTGATGTGATCATCATTCCTTCTCTTTCTTTTATTTTTTTAATTTCGATCAACGTAGCGGAACGACTTTTGTTATTTTCGATCGTGATACGCGAATTGGTCCTCTTTTTATGGGAAAGGGAACGTTCGTTTTACACGACCCACATATTCAACGAACTATCATTATGCTCGGTTCGTACGTAGGTTATTAACTGAAAGCGAAAAACTCGCTTGTGTGAGAACGGAACGAGAGAGAAATGCTTTATAATTTATATTTTAAATGTCAGAAATAAAAAAACAAAAAAGTGAAAAACAATTATCTCCATATATGCATATGTGTAAGTACAGTAAGTTTCATTTGAAAATTTATCACCCTATGTATAATCTTTCATTTTAACACTAGATTTACTAATGTTTTGTTCACTATTTTTAAAAAACTTAAAAACATTGTTTGAATGAAGAAGTATAGGTAGAAAGGAGGAATTAATATTTACGTATATTTCATTACGGCATTAAAAATTAACATATATTTTTAAAAAAATAATATTTAAGTTATATATATATAAAGGAAAAAAAATTTGAAATGAGTCAAATTGGCTCTGTCCGTAAATCTAGTGTAAAGTAACTAAGATTTTGTACAAAGAAAAAAAAATATAAAAAATACGTTTAATTTGTTAAACAAACTCGTAACTTTTTCTTTTTCTCTTTTCATTTTATCTTTCAACTTATCTTCCAAGCCTGTCGGACGATAGATAAAAAAAATAGAACGACTAGCGAATCTCATGTTTTTACTACACGCGACAGCTTGCTAAAATTATAACGAGCTTATAAGCCACGCAAGGTTTCAACGATGTCGAGCGAAGTCCTATACGTACGCGTTGTTCTTATCCAATTTCAGAACTTTCCTATACCCTGCCATCTTTCATGTTTTTTTTTTTACTTTTTTCCCTTATATTTTTCTAAACAGAAACTTGTATAAGAACATTAAAAATACGAACATCACTTTTCAACCACGTAACATAGATAAATGAGATAACATAATAGATCGTCTTTGTTACATACATCGGGAATAAAAAAAAAGATGAGTTATCTACCAACAACAACAACAAAATATACTTCTTTTTGAATAACGGATAAAAAGAATTAACAATATAACGTAAGTGAAAATAATAACGTCATGTACAAATTTGTTTAAACCCTTTTTAACACTAGATACACCACCATTTTCAGTATATCTATTTCTACCACACTAGTCAAAATGACTGGTGTATAAAAAAATGCTTTTTGAGTCTTCCAGCCTTTATTTACTCTTAAAAAATAACAAAAAATGTTTAACAATAATAATTTTAATAGATAAATGGATTTATAGACATTTTTAAATA